TGCTGTTTCAGCAGCAGCCCTGCGGCTGGCAGCAAAGACATGCACCGTATTGGTGGTGTTTTCAATCCAGCGAGTGTCCTTTCAGTCCCCAGCCGTTTTGCAAGGTCGCTGAGGAGTGGGTTGAACCCCCAGCACATTACACAGTACAGGCATGGTTCAGGTTGTCCCGGGCCAGCAGCCCAGTTCACGGTGCCTGGGGCAGGTGGAGATGGGGGAACTGTATGTGGCACAGACCCCCGAGTTTCCCTGGTGAAGCCCACACATCTGCCTGTACCCAGAGCGCCTATTTGGCTCTGTCCCCAGGCTGGGATAATCCAAGTCTGAATTGCCTATTAGCGAAGCAGGCCTACCAAGCCTGAGTTTGGGAAGGGGAGATGGTGAGGTCTACAGGGGAAGTTGTTCTTAAACTGCTGTGCCCTTCCTTGTGGCCCAGGCCACTGTTCTGCTGGCAGGATACTGCTCCTTCTACAGCCCACCACCGTCTAGGAGCTAAAGGCCAGCTTCAGGGCTCAGCAGGCCTGCATAATCTTTTGTCCAGCTCATTTCGGGGAGCCAGCAAGACTTCCAGGCTCTACAGAGAGCGCTTCTTGCTCAGAGTTTGTAGACTCAAGATCTGAAACTCCTCAGGTCCTGCCCACTCCAGACTCACCCCCATACCAAACCCTTGGGTTATCAGTCTGCCCTCTCGGAGCTGTGGGAAGTTCTTACCTTACAACTGAGTGAAAAGAGCAGGCTCTCTTAGCCCAGGCCTCAGACAGCCACCTGCAGTGCACAGACCCGCTCCTTGGTCCCAGCCTTTCAGATGGGCTTCCTCGTGGGAACACTGTCTAATGATGAAGGAAGAAGATTCTCGGGGAACTGGGAATGGGTGGTGTGCAGCCCACGGCCTCGCTGGTCAGCAGCAGCTTTCTGGCTTAGCCCCATTGCTGATCGGCAGCAAGCCAGCCTCCCGTGCATTCCGGGAGGGCCTCAGCGCTGCGTGGAGCTGGCTGAGAGCAAGCTTGTCATCTTCTTTCCTTTCTCCTAGGAAGATGATGAGAAGCTAATCGAGGAAATCCAGAAGGAGGCCGAAGAGGAACAGAAAAGAAAGAATGGAGGCAAGTGCTCCCCAGGACAGGCCCTGTGCTCACTCACTCCATGTGCACAGGGGAGGAGGGGACCCCACTGCCAGCTTGCATCGGGATCCTGGCACTCCACCCAGCCAGGGACCACCGGGGAGTGCTGTCCCTCAGGTGGCCACTTATATACCCCACCCACATATCCAGCTCCCTCTGGGAAAGGCCCTGAAAGCATAGGCACAGTTTCAGCAGCTCCTTGATGGCCAGGAGGTCCCAAGGGGTGAGTTGGAGCTTAGGAAGCAAATAGAAGCGAAAGCAGACTTAAAAGGACAGTAGGCCCCTCTGAGGTCACAGAGGAATGAAGTGGAGTCTCTGTAAGTGGCCATCCACGCCCTGGCTCTAAAGGAAATTCTCTCACAGAAGCGCCACCTGTTCTGAGCTGGATCAGTCTGCCTCCTTCCAAGGTGATCCTTGTGGAGTGTGGCACTCGGTGGGAAGTGTGGTTTCGTCCTTGGTGATGGCTGGTTAGGGGGCTCTGCAGCCACGCGTGCGTGCTGCGTTTGGGGCTTTAATCGGCCTTATTCTGGCCTGGCCGCCCCTCCTGTGTCCACAGGGAAGAATGATGAAAGTTGGAGGTTCCTGGTCTGCCCTCATGCTCCAGGCTGTCAACCTACAGCTCAGGGCCCCTGGGACCAGGATCGGGATATGCAGCTCTGGTCCCAAGCCAGGTCCGAGCACAGTGGGATTTAACTGTTTTCTCTACTAAATCCCATCTTCTTTTCAGAGAATACCTTCAAACGCATTGGGCCCCCCTTGGAGAAGCCTCCAGAGAAAGTCCAGAGGATCGAAGCCCTGCCGAGGCCCGTCCCACAGAACCTGCACCAGCCACAGATCCCCCCCTACGCCTTTGTGCACCCAGCCTTCCCCCTGCCTCCCGTCCGGCCCATGTTCAACAACTTCCCCCTCAACATGGGCCCCATCCCAGCACCCTATGTGCCCCCTCTGCCCAATGTACGAGTCAATTACGACTTCGCCCCCGTCCACATGCCACTGGAGCACAACCTGCCTATGCACTTTGGCCCCCAGCCACGGCATCGTTTCTGACACCCAGGCCCCACCCCTCCTGGGAGCCCCGCCAAGCATCCTGTGCAGGCTGGAGGCTGGATAGATGCTCCTTTGCCCCCAAGGCTGATGGCTCTGCCCATGCCTGCTAAGTAGGGATGACGGACTTAACTGTTGAATGGATAGGCTGGATTTCTTCCTGGGAAGGGCCACTGCTCCTTGAAGAGTGATCAGCAGGCTAGTACCCTCTGGGTGCCCGTAACAGGATTGGGCCAGAGATAAGGGGGCAGCAAAACCCTCTTCCTGAAGAGTTCTGCCGTCCTAGCAGCCAACGTGGTGGCCCTGGGCCACAAGGTAGCCCGTCTCTATCACTCACGTCCCTGCAGAAATAGATGAAGGGAAATGTTTGCCTCCATCCCCTCCCCCTGGCAGACAACAGAAGTCTCTCAGTTAAAAACCACGTAAGCCTTCCTTACCGTAGCAGTGTGATCCATAATAAAGTGAAGTAACAAGCAGTGCAGTTTCGAGAGAGCTGAGAGCTCGGGACCGTGTCGTGGAGGCCTGGTTCTTCTACCCCCCTCGCTCTGAAGCCCACCTAGAGTGAGGTGCACCCCACTGCCCTGAGCCGGTTGGTCTAAGTGGCAGAGCGACGTCCACAGACCTGGGAGCGCCACTCAGGTTGGGGTGGCTGTGGACCGTGTCCAAGTGCAGTACCCCAGGCCGCCACCACAGTGATTGTTGCAGGGTCTCGCCTGCCCTCTTGATCCTCTCGGTTGAGACCACAGAGAGCCATTTCATGCACTGGGATATTTGCAGTTTACCTAAAGAAACACTTTCTGTTTACTCACTTTGAAGTTTCCCAGTTTTCTGTGGCCTACTAGAGTTTCTCGCCCTCAGTCTCTGGGAAGTCAGAGGAATCTGTTGCCCCGTGCCTGGCAGTTGATGAGGGTGGCATGGTCCTGAAGTTTTCGCCAGCCACAAGATCCTTTTGGAGTAGCTGTGGCAGAGGCCCGCTGGCTCTCCCAGGGAGCCATGTTTGCCACCACCCGGTAATGAACAGATTCTCCCCTAAGGTATGGTGGCGCTGGCTTCCCCCAGCAGCTCCATGACCCAGGTTGCACTCGGCAGCTACCCTCTCCTGAGGTCAGGTGAGTCCGGCTGTGGGTTTGCTTGGGAGGCCCCGCCACGTTCCCAGTTGCCTTTTGCTGTCCAGCCCCAGCCACCCGGCCTGCAGTACCTCACGCCCCAGCCCACGTGCAGAGCAGAGGCCTCAGTGGGGACTGAACCTGCCGGGCTCCCTGTGTTGGCCTCCGTTCCTCTTGCTGAAGCTCTGATGGCTATGGGGTTCCCCGGAGTTCACACACACAGACCTCAGAGAGGAGGGGACACGCCCGGGACCAGGCACCACCGTCTGGTCACCCGTTGCCATCAGCCTCTCAGATGTTTTTCCGAGATTAAAATGGAGAGGTGATGTGCCAGGTTGCCTGTTATTGCTGTCTTTCCTCTGGGTTTGGGGTTTGCGGATAGGTGGCCCCCTGGGCTTGGGGTGGGGGGTGCATGAAGAGAGGCTACACTGAGTCTCTGCTGCCAGGAGCCTTTCCCTCCCGGGCTTCCTGCCCCTGCCCTTGGGGCACAGCAACAGTATTTCTTCAGGTACCTTTAAAGCATGTTCCCCGTGCTTCCCCAAGGGAGGGTCTCTGAGGGCTGTGAACTGCCAACAGATGTCCCACTGGGTGGGGAGGGTGACCCCAGGTGCTGTCAACCTGCCCCACTGGTGACAGTGCTCACCCCAGCCCACCAGAACCTTCTGGGTCTCTGACCCGATTCATCATCTAACAAAGGAACCAGCTTCCATCTTTGCCCAGCAGCCCAGGGTACGTGGCTCCACGGATGTCCTGGGGCAGCAGCAAGGACAGACCTTGGGCTGGTGTCGCATGCCCTTGACACTGCGGTCCAGCAACTGCCCTAGGACCTGGCATGCGAAGGTCCAAAGGTTGCCGCACAGGAGGGAGACCAGGTAATTCCCCCAAGGGCAAACTGAAGACTTGTCTTTTGAGATGAGTTCTGGCTGTTTTTAGCCACAGAAGGCAACTAGGGAACCACTCCTGCCTTTCTGAGCCGAGGGCACCTGATTTCTAACGTTCCTCCTTGAGCCAGGCTGTGGAGTGGCTCGCAGGTCTGCAGATGCAGCACAGTCACTTTTGCCTCAAGTTCTGACCCAAGCGTGAGCCCCCTCATGTCTGCAAAACGACCCTGTAGGTGCCTCGTGTCTTGGAGAAGCAGTCTGTACTAGTGATGGGGTTGGGGGGAGAGGGCGCCATAACCATCAGACAAACCAGTCAGTGGCTGCAAGATGCAAACGACAGGGCACCCCCAGAGATCAGCCCCTGTCTGGGGGACAGAGCAGTCCCGGAGGCAGCCTGGCACCTTCCCCTCTGGGCTGCCTTGCTTGCTCCCTGGAGCGAGAGACTGCCCAGCAACAGTCCCATTCTTGCCTTAAAACTGGAGAGAGGAATCTAGTATTTGCACTTAGCAAAAGATTTTAAAACTTAAAAAAATGTGCATGACCTGTCACTTTGTATAAAAATAGCAAAAAACGATTAGTTTACTAAATTCTTTACCTTCTGGTAGTAAAAATACATAAAATAATTGTTTAAACTACTGTGTTATGTAAAAAGCCTGTACCATATGTAACTTGGTTTTTTGTAAATAAATGTTTGTGCAGACTGCTCTCTGGTTTAGTTTCTCCACACGGCCTGACCAGGCAGGCCCCACGACCCCACAGAGTTAGGGGCTGCTCAGACTGAAAGCCAGCGGATTCCAGGGGAGTGATAACACTTCATGTAAAACTGCTCACCCAGAGCGGAGGTCGGGATGCTGCTGGAGAGCTGCAGGACCCGATCCCAAAGGAGCCCCGAGGGGCTGGGCCTGCTCAGGAGGAAGATCAGGTGATCCATTATGCTAACCCTGCCTGGGTGGCTGCCCAGGTCGGGTTGGGCACAAAGGGGTTTTTTTAATTTGTTTTTCAGTACAGAATCCCCTTCAAGAAAGTACGGTCAGCCCCTCTTCCAGGCCCCTGCAGCAAGCCACTGACTCGGCCCTGGAGGTGGATGCAAAAGGGAGAAACCTCACTCAGACAGGAGGCCAGTCCTGAGAACAGGGAGCCCCTAGGCAGTGAAGCTGCAGGTACACCCCCTTCCACACACTTCCTGCCACCTGCCAGGCCTGGAGGGTACGCTGGGCACGGCGGACCACAGCACGCTCGGGCTCAGATGTTGAGGAAACGCTATCCTCTTCTCCACTTGCAACTTTTTACTGAGTGACTTTTTTTTTTTCAATTGCACGTCTGAAAAAGGTGTACTGAAGTAAACCCAAGACAAAAGTTACTTGCATTACCAGCTTCTAAATCGGTGTATTTTAAAATTTACCCATGCCATCTAGTTCTTGTTCCTGTACGTGTTCCATATTTACGTATTTGCAGCAATATCATAGACTACTCTACAGTTTCCATCAGTAGATAAGTAATGTTTTTGCCCCGCAATCTGCTACCATCTTTTTTTCCCATCCTCCATTCAAGTAACCAGAGTCACATTCCTCCCTCTTTACCCCACTCGCCCTCCAGCACATTTCAACATGCACCTGCTCATCAGGACTCTGGGCCTTTGTTGTTACAAAAGTGGTTTCATACTTTTGGCTGAAACTCACTTTTCCCTCTTTGCAGACCTTTGACCCAGGTCTGTGGGTCAACATAGCTCTAATTTGTGCCTTTTATGCCTTCCATGATATTTCTTTGTATATATTTGCCAACCATCGCCCCATTAAAGAAAATTTGGATGCTTGCGATGTCTTGCCACCACACACACCACCTCAGTGAACATTCCCTTTGATGTTGCAATAGGTAAATTTCCAGCAGTGGAGTTGTGAATCAAAGAATGGGGTGTGTGTATGTGTTTTTTTTTGTTTTTTTTTTGAAGTATAGTTGATTTACAATGTTGTGTTAGTTTCAGGTGTACAGCAAAGTGATCTGGTTATACATATATATATCTAGATTTTTAAAATTTTTTTCCATTATGCTTTTTTCCCATACTCCCAGTTTATCCCCCACCGCCTTCCCCTTTGGTAACCATAAGTTTGTTTTCTGTGTCTGTGAGTCTGTTTCTGTTTCATAAATAAGTTCATTTGTACTATTTTTTAGATTCCACATATAAGTGATATCATATGATTGTCTTTCTGTCTTACTTCACTTAGTATGATAATCTCTAGGTTCATCCATGTTGCTGCAAGTGGCATTATTTCATTATTTTTTATGGCTGAGTAGTATCCATTGTATATATGTACCACATCTTCCTTATCCATTCATCTGTCGATGGACACTCAGGTTGCTTCCATGTCTTGGCTGTTGTAATTGATGCTGCTAAGAATGTTGGGGTGCATGTATCTTTTCGAATTAGAGTTTTTGCCTTTTCTAGATATAACCCCAGGACTGGGATTGCTGGGTCATATGGTAACTCTATTTTAAGTTTTTTAAGGAACCTCCATACTGTTTTCCATAGTAGCTGCACCAATTTACATTCCTGCCAACAGTGTAGGAGGGCTTCCTTTTCTCCAGGTATATTTCAGTAGCTTTGCCAGATTCCTCTCCTGCAAAGCAGTGTCAACCCACCACAGGTGAGAGCCTTTGGCTGTGCTCTTGCCCCTCATTGGCACATCTTTGTGACCATGGTCCACCCTGCTGTCCTAAGACATGCCCTCTGTAATCTGACCTCATGGAGACATCACTTCTATTTTCACCTCTTTCTTTTGGTAAAACTGCTTTTCGGTCAGGAGCATTTGTCATTGTAATGTCCAAACTTTTATTTTTTCCATCCTTAAAAAGTGTCTTTTTTTAATAAATATATTTGCCAGTTGTAAATGTTTTTAAATGGAAAAAAAATTGAAAACACAGAAAAGTATAAAGAAGTGCTTTGTTACCCAAAGGTAACTACTAATAATATTTTGATGTTTCCTTCCAGTGTATTTTTTTTCTGTGATATATATGGTGTATTTCACAAAACCAGTAAGCCAGATGTGCAGATTTTCAGTCTATCTTGAGCAGTAACAAGGTACGTATGAGCAAGTGCTTCTGAAACATGATTTTTAATTAGCTCCTTGTTTTATAACCTCTTGCTGCAGGCTCTGTTAGCATTCTCTTTGGGCTTATTAAAATCTCTTTCCTGAAGGCTGGTGCAC